TGCAAGTTTGCAGTTATTTTCTTCCCAGGTTTATCCTACGTCTGTCTTAGATTTCTTTTTCCTCATCTGTACACAAAGCATATCAAGCTTTTCTGATTAGACTGCAGTGAAGAGCCTGGTTTTGGTCTAAGGGTCATCTGTTATAGCCCTTCATCCTTCCATTTTAGCACTAACACATGCATTTTGTTTGTGCTGTTAAATTGCTGACAAAGGAGGCGGAGAAAACCTTCTCAGGTATTGATTTTTCACACACGGGGACTGTAGCTTGTAGTCACTTGATTTGCCACCTACAGTTTATAACTGAATGGGCTCATGGGATTATAAACTTCATTTTAGCATTGAGTTCCCAGCCTGAGGTGAAATTGATGTGTTAGTTGTTAGTCATTTGTAACTGCTTTAGTGTATTTTGCTTGTTGGAATTCTATTTAGATGGCTAATATAAATAGCATTTTTGCAATAGAAATGCCACTGATCAGAACTTCCTGTTTGAGTTGTTGATCTTAACTGGCTTTCAGATATTTGGATCTGGTTTTGCATAATAATTTCTGCTTAATAGTTTTTGGGTCTTTCTGGTTTTCACTGTTACGTTTATAATGTAATAATTATGAACTATATCATGGTAACTGACTAGGTACATAATTTTATTCAACATTTGGCCCTCAGAGTTGTAGATACGGAACTGATTAATTAGTGGTCAAACAAATGAAATGTATTATAGTTCTTCATGAATGATCAGGGGCTTTATTTTCAGTGGTACTCAAAACTTCACTAGAAGTTTCCGTTGATTTCTATGTTAGTAGCAAGGTACCCTTTACCTCCCAGGATAAGACAACTCTGCAAAAATACTTGGTTTACCATATGCAGGAAGTGATTTTTTTTCAATAATTTGAATCTCAGCAAAACGTTCAGTCTTTCATCACTGAATACAGTTTTCTCAGCTTCCATTATAGGTATTCTTAAATACACAGTACCTCCCAGAAACCTTGGAAGTGTCATTTTTCCGTTAATAATACATTTTGGTAATTTTGTGAAAACAAAAGAAAAATATATTTCTTGCATGTTAGTGAGAAGTGCAGGTTTGCTTTAGTAGTCATCTCTGAGAATCATGCAATCTTTATATGCCTTGGCTTGACCATTTTTTTTGCTTAACTTCCAATGTCAACATTGATCTTAGGATATTTATGTTGAACCTTAGTGAAACAGTCTTTTGAAGTTTTATGAGAAAATGCTTTCTCACAGCAGATTGCATCCAGATTTGACAGAGAAGTAGAAATCCCCCAAATAAATAAGTTCCTACAATTTTCATAAAAATCTGTGTCAGGCTAGAAGAATGAACCATAAGCAGTGTCCCCTCTGAGGGGGATACAGGTTGAATTTTGTCCTTGATACATTCCGCTTTGGTTGTTCCATTCATGTGCTAACAATTCCAGCTTAGCTACAGCAGAGATTGTCTTTTGGGGGTATCAGAGGAAAGAAAGAATGATAATTATTATGATGGTAGGAAATGAAAATGATGCAGATTTATCAAATTCATTAGTTTCACTGCTCATGAAACAAGTTGCTTTGTGGCTTTCTTAGTTTTGTGAATTACTGTTTACAAATCTTTTCACTCTAGCTACATTTCAGCTTTTGTGCATATTCAATTAGAGAAGTTCAGCTATGGTAGACCAGAATAAAGCATGTTGTATCTATGAAATCCTATGAAAATGAGTGGGATTGAATGATTCTAACAGAAATAAATTTGATTACTAATATAATAACATTGACATCAATGAAGATCAGATAGAAGAATCAAAGCACTAAGCAAATTTCTGAAGTATTAGTGATAATTTTTATTAAAAAAAGAGTGGCTTGAGTTCACCCTCATCTTTAAGACCTTCCTACTCTAGAAAACCCCAGTGGTTGCTTGTTCTGTTCTTGATTATGCAGTAGATTGAGGCAGTCTTTAATTTAACTTAAAGTGCATGGCACCATTCTGTGCATGTTAAGCAGATCTCTTTAAAGCTAATATTACACTGTTTCCAAGTCCCATTCAACTAGAAAATGGCTTGAGATGAAGCAAACTGGTATGACTGTTGTAGAGAGCAGATGACACGAAGCCATGCGTCTGTGGTAAGAGAGAAGCAACTTCAGAATGAATTCCTGTGAAGCAGAAGAAACCTCATTTTTGAGGGAGATGCAGTTATGAAGGACCCAAGATGCCAGTAGTGTTACCTGGACCCCATGGAAGATGGAAGTTTATCAAGACTGTGTGGCGCTTGCTTGGGAGTTGCAGGATGAGGTGCTAAATAGTTCTGGAGTAAAATAACTTCTTTGTCACCAAGCAACAGAGTCAGCAGTGCCTCCTGATCTGACACAGGCCTTCAGGAAAGACTGAAAATGCATATCCAGTAAGAAGAGCATTAGATTTGCAGGGGAGCTGGTCAGGGGCCAAGCTGTACTTTACCTTTGCCTACATGCATCCTATATCTGTTTGTTTATGAAGCTGGCTGATCGTGAGGATGTATTTGCCCACCCAGAGTAGTCTTCTGTTTGATTTATATGAACAATACATAAATGATCAATCATTATTGGACAAAGGTTAATGCTTTACTCGTAAATATAAGGGTGCAGTAAGAGTTTACTTACAACAATTTGTAATGCAACAGATTATGATGCAATGAATCTAAATGAAAACATGCAACTGGGTTGTCTGGACTAGGCACATACATATTTCCTACCATGCATTTTCCAGGATATTAATAGAGAGTTTTCTGGTTTAGACTCAAACATTTGATCCAAGAATTGGAATTAAGATTATAATCTTACAAATGCTTGTGGTTCGGAACTGGTTTAGGAGTGGTGGTGTGAAATTGTCACCATTTGACTAAGGTGTTGAAAAATCAAGTTGTTTTTTCTCTTTATTTCTAGAGGAGGTGATGTTTAGATTTCTCTGCCATGATGTCAGTAGCTGTTTTGTGGGCAGTTTATTATGGTTGATCCTAGGAATGGGGTTGTGTTTCATGCTGTGATGAACTGGAAGCATAGACAAGACAAGACAGCAAACATTCGCAACCCTTTCCTCAGAACTAGCATCTGAACACAATCCATTGCCACTGGTTATCACTTTATTCTGGTCCTGTGGCTGATATTACAAGTCTAAAAGCTTAGATTATCTAGTCCATCCATATAAAGAAAGCAGAAGGAAAGGAAGTAACAAAGATATTCCTGAATTTAAAAGATTTCTGTAGAGAAAGAGAGTGTACGTAGGCACAATTAGTAAAAAGTTAAAAAAGTTTAAGTTGGAGTACGTGGGAAGGGAGAACATGTTTCCCAGTTATATCCTCTCCATCTTGAACCCCGACAGAGTCAGTTTCATGGTTTGTATATTCAGCAGACTTGTTCTGTGAACTGAATTTAGCAGGAGTGTTTTCAGGGATCTACCTTTCATCTAAAATAAGAGCAGTTCTATTCCCGATTGTCCTATTTTTCCCTTATGTTGGCCTAGTGAAATGATGAGATCAGTTAAAGTATGGTTCTTTTTGTTTGTAAGTTGTATAGCATCAATAGCAGCTTTTTAACATACTTTTATCCTTCTCCTTCATCTCCTTTCATCACTGACCTTTATTCTGGAAAGAACTATGCACATGGCGTTCTGCAGTCTCTCTTTCTGAGACCAACTGAGAACAGTTATAGGATGGTGTGTTGATGGATTCTTCTGTATGCTTCATTTCAAGATATTGACATCCTCTTTGTTTTAACCTAGCCAGTGAGAAACAGCAGGAGGAGACTAGCAGAGGAAGCTGCTCTGACTACTGATTTTCTTGTGCCTTTTGGTGGTTCATTAATTCCTCTAACAATTGATTCTTAGGTAACTGTCTGGGTGTGACCATTACTAGCCAGCAGAATAGGGGTGGTCATGGCTGGGTGAAGCCATAGCTGATAATGTCAACTTTACCTTCTGAATTCTTCTATCTATGAGTTATTCATTTAGTATGGAAGCAATATTGAGCTCCCTACAAATAGTGCAATACCTTCATTTTGAATATGACATTCTTATTCTTCCACAGTAAGTGTAGATGCCGGAAGAGTATAAGCCAGCTGTTTCACAAGACAGACAAGAGGGGTTAGACAAATAGAACATTGCAAAAATTAGCCCTGTGCATGAATTGTTCATATGGAAACAGTATGATCAATTTTGTTTCACTAGTATTGACTGGTATTGCCCTGTCTGTCCCTACCAGCTATATTAGAATTCAAAACTGTCTAGTACTGTATACCATGACTCTTAGAAAGCACCAGGCTGGAGTGAGGCTTTTACTAATTTCAAAACCTCTATGGATGTCCCAATTTACTGTGAGCTAGAAAAGGGTGCGTGTTGGAAGGCAATAGGCAAATCACTGTTGCGTAGAAGTTGAGTAAGGCAGTACTGAAAATAGAACAGTAATTATAAAGCTATTTCTGGCACTGTTTTTCTTGCTTATGAGTCCCTCTTGTCCCTATAATTTCTGAGAAAGATAACTGTGATAATAAATTTGTAAGAAAAAGTTGTTGATTTTATTCCAGAAGTAATTATATAATAAAAAAATCTGCATGTAGTTATCCTATATAGGGTTTGGGGGTTTTGTTTTGTTTTCACAATGTAGGTGAAGATCACAGTAGAACTTCTAGGATACCACATGATTTTCCAGATGGCTATTTTGAGGCTGTTGTTTAGAGCCATGGAATACAATTGGAAGGCTGTAGTTCACAGAGGGGAAAATGATTTGTGCGCTGTCCGTAACTCATATTTCTTTTACATTATATTTTATATCAAACAATACATGTAGCCTGTTTGTCGTAGGGATACTGTTACGGGGTGATAAAATGTAGTCATTGATTCTAATGTTGATCTTACAGAGAAATATTTTCTTTAAATGTAGATAAATGTTATTTGCACGTTTGCCTGACTGCCATCTAAGTTAGTCTGTCATGCCTGGTCTGACTTAATTTATTCTGGCTGTTAAAAATTTTCAAAATAGAAAAATCCAGGTGTTACAAAGAAACCCATGAAATTTACTTCATTGATGGAGAATATCTCTTTTCATGGATAAGTGAAAGAAACCCTGTCAATGGCTGAAGCCTGTTAATTTTTTGCCTTACCCTATTGTTTGTCTTTGTTGGTCAACTTTTACAAGATTTATTTTAAGTTAGTATATTATCTCTGCTTTTAAAAAGTAGTCATGCTATTTGCCCCTATTTCAGCCTGAGAGCAGTTTGACTAGACTCCATCAATTTGGCCTTACTTTTGCTTTGCATTCTGTCTCTTCCCAAGTGTGCAAACCAGGGTTTGGTAGAGTGCTATGGGCTTGTTGATAGCATGTAGTCATTCCTCAAATAGCGTAAGTGTGTGCAGTCCCAAATAGCTTTGTGTAAGATGTTCCCCATCCAGTAGAGTTAATTGTCAAAGTGTAATTTTTCAGCATCTGGTGTGGGCTGTTTTGCTTGCCTGCATGGATCAGATTTAACTACTGAGAAGTCTTCTCCAGCTGGTGGCAGAAATCATGAAATGCTTGTAATCAGTAGGTCTCTAATAGGTTGAGGCTCCCTCTGGGAAGGGCATTGCTAAGTTTTTTCATAGCTAGAAGCCACTCTCTGTACATCATTTCAAAGCCCAGAGAGGTCTCAGGCCTGATGTGGGGGGAGTGAAAGGAGAAATTTCTTCCTAAAGAAATTTCAGCTTCAGCATTTTAGTGTTAAGGTCTTCTGAATACAGGGTGGTTGTAAAAGTGGTTGCATTCATATGTAACTTTTCACTGTAGAAATAAAAAGTAAATAGCAGTCCTTGTATGCATTTTATTTTCTGAAGCTCAGCAAATCAGGAAATAGAAAAAGAACAGCAGAAATTCACTTTACAACTTCAGCTTTTTCCTTTAATGTTTACATTTTGTGTTTATAAAAAATAAAAGTCCAGATTTTACAAAATTGAAGATAATAGTTCTTTTGCTTTTTTGTAATGTAAAACATTCACATCTGTCATAGGAATGTCGTGTTACTACATTGCGTGCAATGGGCACTTTCACTGATGGCAGATGTGGAACCTCATTTAGATATGTATTGCTTGAGTTCAAGAAGAGGCTGTTTTAGTTAAGCAGAAGAGGTTTATGGTACATATTTGGCAAATCTGATTCCATGTAATTCATAAACATGCTACCTGTAAATGCTACCTTGTTATCACAATGCATAGAAGTGCTCACTCACTAAAATTTTTCTTCAATCTTCCACCAGGACTGCATCTGTAACAATTTTGTGTTAGATTTTATTTTGTCAATGTTGTCTTCTGGTATAAAGAAATGTTAATGTATTTTGAAAATTTGGAGATACCAATTTAAGGGTTACTTATTAATCAGAACAAAAGCAGGCAATGACACTAGATTGTTTTGTTTTGTTTTAAGGAAAAACATACTTATCCACAACAGCTGCTTGGAGGGAGGCATCATAATATTACATCGGTACAAAGAGTGCCATGCGTCATTTTCTGGACAGTCTGTGTGATAGGGTAGTTGTTATAGTGACAGTGAAATAAATATCAGTCTTTTTTTTTTTCCTTTTTATTTTTTTTGTAAGGTTGCATCAAAGCTGTTTGCAGTCTATTCTTCTCTGTTTCTTTGCACATGAACATCTGTAGCATTTCTCCTAAAGCATTAAAATCACACGTTTAATATGTTTTTTTTTAACCTTAGATGGAACTGTTCCAATTTATGTTTGTATTCACCACCACCCCACACCCTGCAAGCAAACCTTGCTCTTAAGATTGGCTTATCAGAAGCTACATGTCTGTGGCTGCTGTCTTCAGTGCATGTAGTACAGTCTGTTCACTGATTTCAGAGAAGTCTTGCACCTGACCCGCTTCTCTGTTGAGGTGCTAACTGTATGTGTTCAGAATACTGTTCTCTATTTGCAGCATGCTGTATTGGATCCAAGTAGTGAGAAACTGTCCTAATGACTTACATTATTGACCACAACAGATAGATGACATTGACTCTAGCTTTTTTTTCCCCCTTCCCTCCTTTTTCCTTCTCAAAGCAATTTGATACATTATTTGGCACCATCTTCGGTGCAAATACAGTTTTAACCAAGGAGGGAAATAGAGGTTTTCTCTAAATCTGCCTGCCATTGTTTAAAAAAATATTATAGTTCTTCTAACCTGACTTTGGTAGCAGCCATGTTTTGTGCCTGCTATATGGTAAATTACTTTAACAACATGTAAACGTTTTGTCTTAGGGTGTAAAGGAATTTAAAAATTTCTTCTAGAAAGGAACAAAGCATGCAAATGTTTATGCACATGCTTCCATCATGAATATTGCTATAGAGACCTGCACCGCATGTGAATTTGCACACAGGTTATTTTCTTCTCTATCATGAACAGAAAGCACAATTATTTCTTTAATTAGATTGAAGAGCTGCTGCTTCATTCCTTATTAATGTATCAATTTCCCCAGCCAGGCTCACATTTCTTTCTGACTAAATTTCTCACGCCAGATAGTTGTCACTGATGCTGGAAATGGTGAAGAGGTGAATAAGACAGCAGGTTTTTAAAATTATTTCAAGCAGGTTTGCAGATATCAGATATGCTTAGAAAGGAATGGCTCAAACCTTAAAATTCAAGTGTATGTTTGAGAACCTAGTTGATCCATCTCCAAAAATCAAGAGCTTTTGCAGTCAGCAATGGTGTTGTCTTCAATTGCTTTTGTCAAGATCACTTTCTTATTTTTCTCCTTCGGTTTGTTCATGGATTGCAGACTTTACATCTCCTAAAGTGTACAGGTAGCTGAAGTGGTCTACCTACTGACAGCTACCAAAAGGGCAAATAATATTCTTTCTTAGAGAAGCCATAAACCAGTCAGCTTCCCTAATGATGAGTTATATAAGAAGGTTAAGTTAATCTCATCTTAAACTTCATCTTTCCTTTCTCTAATTCCAGTTCAGGGGCAAGATCTAGGTTCTCACTACTTGAAATGAAATCCTAAAATGGTATTGTCATTTTCCTAATCACCAGAACTTGCCATCTGTGTAATTCCAAGGGTGGGAAGGAGCCCTTTGCGTAGGCTGCAGTGATCCATACACCACTCAGGAGTGTTTGGGGAAATGACTCCCCTGACCAGGAGATCTCCTAAAGGTGGAGGTGCAGTCAGCCAGTGTAGCTGACCATAACACACTCTACTGAAATACAGAGAGAGAGACAAGTGCAATTGTTGAGAAACGTCTCCAGTGATGAATGTCACCCTAGTGGTGTACCTGTTGCCTATTACCAGGTTAGTTTGTATTTTATGATAACAGCCAACCCAGTTTTAACTTTTATTAAACTAGTTATACATAGCCCTGTTGTAGATATATCAGATATGATGAGGTGTTATACCTACTGAATGCCTGTCTGGCAATTGTTAAGGAGCATTAGACAAAAATAGGTTAAAAGCATGACATGGCTTTTTAATGCACAAGAAATAGGGCCTCATTTCATGAGCCGTGTTAAACCGATTGTGTAAAATGTCCATTGAAAGAGCGTGCAGTAGAGGGAGGGATCAGATTTTGTCAGAACTTGTTAAAATGTGTTCAGAATGATGCAGTGTATGGCGCAATGTTTGAGGCAAATAATACATACAGCAAAGTAAGTAAAAAGAAGTGGAAAGAGCTTTCTTTCCATTCCTTCATTTAGTGATCTTATCTTTCTGTCTGGTTTTCATTTGTGATTGTATTTCTTCTCAAATTAGGACAATATTTGATTTCTTTATCATAAGATCCTTCTTTAGTACAGAGTGACTTAGGGCTTCCCACTGTATGTGTGTCTGTTTTGTTTTCCAGGAAGCCATTGTATGGATTGTTTCAATATAATTCCAGTATGATTGGACTAGAATCATTAGCTGATCCCTCAGATACCTGGGAAATTATAGAGACTATTGGGAAAGGCACTTACGGTAAAGTCTATAAGGTTGCCAATAAGAAAGATGGGAGTCTGGCAGCAGTAAAGATTCTGGATCCTATCAGTGTAAGTAAAAACTATTAAACTGTAACTTCATTGTTAATTTAAAAGAATTCTCAAACAGAGTTAAAATGTATATCAAACGTGTAAGATATTGAAAGCGTCCTGAAGGGAACAATTTTGCAGAATGCATTGACAGAAGGAGTTTGGTACCAGCACCTGAAAGCTGCAACTTACAATTTCATCATCTTGTATGTTATTTGAAGACAGCATTTGCCTAGTTTCTTTTTTAGGTCTACGTAATTCTTCTGGTACAAATTTAGATATCTGTGCTTGAAGCATGCAAATGGTAAGAAGGCACAGAGGCATTCCTCTTAGGGGCCTGCTATAGCTGTTAATCTTAATGTTCTTATTTTATTCTGTGTACTCACTAAAAGAATTAATTTTCCCATCACAGAAGTACTGTGAACTTTAGGATATTTTATAGTTATCTCTTCTAAGTGGCTAATACTGTGAGGCAATAGTTAAGATAAAAACAGAAGAAGAGCACAGCCCAAATTCTCAGAGGTAGTTCTGTGCCATCTCCAGTTTTAGTGGGTATTAAATGCCTAGCTTCCCTTGAGAACCCAGGCCCTAGTTTTCAATGGAAGATTTAATTGGCAGCTACTCAGGTTGGATCAAGCTGGAGTTTGATCATGACAGTTGGGCTAAAATATTTACTAAAAAAAGTTAGTTTCTGTCATCTACCACTACAGAAATTCATCTTGGTTTTCTCTTGTATACAACTGAGGAAGGTAATAAATAAGATGATATCCTTTTTAGCAAAATGCAAAAAAAGGAAAATGCATGTAAGAGCTTAAATTTTCTAATAGTCACAGTCTGTGCAGAAACAAGGAAAGATTCAGTGCTTAAGTACTGTTCTGAGTTGTGGCCTGTGTGCTGATATTAAACAGTATTTTGTAATTGTCACTTTCATTAACAAATATTTAGTAACATTTGCTTATTTCATGGGTTTTGTTTTGTCTCCCTTTAATTGTTTCTGGTGTATGTCTTTTCCTGGTATGAATGTCTTTGTTTTTACTGATGTCCCCTTTGAAGTTTTGTGAAATTGTTCTCTGTTTGGTCCCATCTGATGACCATAGAAAAAAGAATGAATCAAAGGTTCATGTATTTACAATTAGCTTACACATTAAAAATATGCATGTTTAAAAACAGGTTAGAAAATAATACATGTGTAAATTTCTTATTTAGACAACTGAGCAAAGTTAAGTATAAGTTTTACTTTTCTGGTTAAGTATATTATGCACTGAAAGAATCCTTGAAGAACAACTGCTTGCTTTACATATACTTCACATTTCTGTATGTAAAAAAAGCAAAAGTGGCATGTTTTGGTGTGGATTAAATTTACAGTATTGTGTGAGTACTTTCAGCTGCATTAAAGTAAAACCATTTAAAAGTACAAGCTAATTAAAAAATGGTTCTTTTTATCCATGAGAGTTTGTTCTTGCTTTCTTGCTTTGTACGGACTTAACTGTGTTTATATGTTCTGTATGTTTGTGGTTTTTATTTAGGATGTAGATGAAGAAATTGAAGCAGAATATAATATTTTGCAGTTTCTTCCCAATCATCCTAATGTTGTTAGATTTTATGGGATGTTTTACAAAGCAGATCAATATGTGGGAGGACAGCTCTGGCTAGTACTTGAGGTAAAAACATTTTGATAACATTACATCTTAACTAGCAAATGTGGTTGGGTTTCTGTGTTTTATTGTTAGAAGAGTCACAGGCTTTCATGATTCTTTGGGGCCGTTAATCAAAGGACTGGTGATAAATGATGTGTGGTAGCCTACGGTTGAAAATCACATCCAAACTTAAAGTTTGTTTAATAGGGAATGTCCTTGCATTTTATTTCTGTTCAGGTTGCTACATCTGCCTCCAAAGCAAGCAAATCCTTTTGGTAAGAATGGTTTGCCTGAAAACAACTTGATTTTTTTCATGTTGGAGGAAACATAAGCTAAGACATTTCTCTAAACTTAGGGGGAGCTCAAGCACTTGAGGGGAATGCAAAAGATGATGAAATAGTAACGTGGAGGACAGTTAACAAACATGCTGCCTGTTGCAAAAGTGAACTGAGAAAATGTAATGGGAAAGTCTTTTTTATGGTAACTTAAAACTAGAGGCTGGTTGTTGTTGAAAACCTAGCAACAGAAATGCCTTCTATTAACTCTTCTTGTTCAGTGGCAATCAGTATTCTTGCAATGAAAAATGTATGTTGGTGGTTTTGTTGCCAGTTAAGTAACTGCCAAAGATTGTTGCAAGATGAGGATTTCTTCTAGATGTTTTCTAGGCTTAATTGATACAGAGCTTTGCACAGACTGATGAGCAGTAACAGACCATTCAAACATTTCTCTCTGTTATAACTAGACCGGTAAAAGTTAGCATTCACTTTTTAATTACTGATCATTTTAGAAATTCCACTCCCTGTTCCTGAATGGTGACTGGAATAAGAATAGGGAATCTTATTTTCACTTTAAGTTGTGGAATCCAAACAATACATCTAACTTCTGTGTACTGCAGAATTATGTAGCTTGAATGAAAACTTTTGAATGTGTTTTATCTTAAATTTCAGTAACTATTAAAAAAGGAGCTTTAGTATTTTTGTTTTGGTGTTGTTTTTCACTGGATGCCTTCTGGCTTTGTGTTGAGTTTGGGCTTGGTTTCCCATGTGTTTTCTTTGTTAATACAAGTGTAGCGTATCCGACAGATCCATCACATGTGGTATTCCATGTAACAAAATTTTGTAAAGCAAAATCATGGCATATTCTATGTAACACAATTGAATGTAGAATTTGAGAGAGTTAGGTGTTTGTACAGACCTTATCAATTAAGTGTGTTCATTTCAGGTGTTTTTTGGTGCACATTATCCAAAGTTTTAAAGAAATTTGACATTAAAAAAATTGTGTTTTCCTTATACAGATAAATTTACCAGGCAAGGCAAACTATTTCTTGCCTTGGAATTTACATGCAAATTTATGTATGCATAGCAGTTACTTTTTATATTATAAATTAATTACACTTTTTCAGTAAAAGGGAAAATACAAAGTAGTCATTTTGATATCCCTGAGTTTGATGAAATATATTCATTGGATGTGTGACTTCCGAAATGTGTAATAAAAAGGTGGATTTTTTTTTTTTTCCTTTAAGCACAATTTTGCCATGTTTGCGCACTACAAGCAGGACCTTACTTTGATAAATGCCTAAGATGAGGAAGGGTAGCAAAAGTGGACACCTTTAAATATTTTTATGATGATGCAATTCTCGGATAGGTGTAGCACAGACAACTGTAAAGCAAGCTTCCCTACTTTTCCATCTAAATGTGCATCAGTCCACTTCTTATACCATTAGGTATAAAGTGGTAATGAAGTTTACAAGTTCATTTTGTCCCAGGTCTTTGCTGACTGTCAAGAACAGTGTCACTGACAGCTGCAGTAGTGTTTGTGGGATATATTTATTTTCAGAGTCGGTCATTCATTTAACATATGCTACCAAACAGCTGTCAGTCTGTATCATTTTTCAGTCACAACCAGCTTGGGGTTTTTTTGAAGTGAGGACATACTTTTCTACGTTTTATTTGCAGGCTAGAGATATTTTTAGTACAGCCTGTCTCAATATAACATTTAGTGCAATGAAAGCAATAAACAAAAATATTTGACTTAATGGCTTGTCAGCAAATGGTTAAGCGTGGAAAGAAAAACATGCACTTTCTCTCACGAGATGAAGTTCTCCTGTAAATACATATGATGATTGATATTGAGCTGAATGCTCCCACCTAATTGATTTAAAAAAAAAAATAAAATTTCCTACTAATGAATTAAAAAGTAAAGTCAAATTCCTGCAGAACTCATCAATGTTTTCAGTGATGAAGTTTTGCTTCAGGAAGTTATTTACATAAAGGATGTCTTGTTTATTGTGTGATCTGGTCCTTTCCATGAATTAAAACTTTTAGTCTAGTGAAATTTTTGATGCAAGGGGAAGTTAGTAATAAATGAAGGAAAATATTGACATACCACAGAAATGAGTGATTGAACTGATACACAATTCATAAAAACTATTTGAGAGATGCAAAACTTGAGAGTTTGTAGAACTTCTGTTTTCATACCATTCTCTTGATTTACGCTGTAGTATTTTAAACTTAATACTGATAACGTAAAATGAACTTGTGTTGAAATGCATGTGATTTCTGTATGGCAGAAACGTTGGTAAGGGCGCTGGCTACAAAAACAGGTCTAGAGGAGAATTTTCAATGAAAGGCAGGCAATCAATTCTCCCATCATATTTTTTGTTGAACAATTATGAGTAAAATGAATTGTGTTGAAATGCATGTGATTTCTGTATGGCAGAAACGTTGGTAAGGGCGCTGGCTACAAAAACAGGTCTAGAGGAGAATTTTCAATGAAAGGCAGGCAATCAATTCTCCCATCATATTTTTTGTTGAACAATTATGAATATTAAAGTAAGAAAAGGACAGAGAAAGAGGAGAAAGGAAAGAGGCGAATAGCTGCTTAGAAGGGCATGGACAGTAAATTAATGGTGTGGGTGAAAACATATTTACAAAGATTCTAATTTTCCTTTTTCTCCTCTTTTGATGTGTGGCAGCCCATTAGTGGGAAATGCTTGCAAGAAGCTGCTTTTCTGGATCAGAATGTTTCATCTCAGTTATTGGCAGCACATGCCATCAAATCTGAGTATAGAGATATGGCTTCTGTCTACTTTATATTGCCTGCCAGCAGGAGCATTGATGGAGTGCAAGTTTAACATGACTGTAATTTGTTGCCTCCCAGTTATCAAGAGCATCGGTCTTCTGTCTGGTCTTTTCTTTGCACAAAAGCAGTTTTTCAAAAAGACAACGCACATGTTATTGTGAAAATACTCAAATAATGTAAATTGGACTTATAAATCCTCTTTTAACAACAAAATACAGTCCTGTTCATAATATTTTGATTTTTAGTTACATTTTATAAATTGCACTTTATAATCTTCAGTTTTCACTTCTCTTCCTCCACCCAGACTGCTGTGATTTATTATAACATTGCTAATAAAATATGTTCTAAGGTGGGGTGACAACATAAAAAATCACAAGGTAAAAATCTAGTTGTTCCCAGACTTGTGTTGTAGTGCAGTTTTGCATGGTGTTTACAGCCTAAAAAAATATATTGAGTAACTGGGGACTTGTCTTGCTTTTTTCCCCCCTCGCAACTCCTCCCTTCACAGCTGTGCAATGGAGGTTCTGTCACAGAGCTTGTCAAAGGCCTGCTGAAGTGTGGCCAACGGTTGGATGAAGCTATAATCTCATACATCTTATATGGTGCTCTCTTGGTAAGGATGTTTATTGGGCTTGTAATGTCAGCAGAGGGTGCAATTTACTCGTCTCATACATATATTTTCCATTTGTAAAGTATGGTAATGTTGACAATATTATGCGGGTTATTATAGCAGCAGGGGTTATATCAAGCATGTAATCCGGTGGACAGATGTTTCTATAGAGTATGTGCAGATTGCCTTCATTACATTCCCTAATAGTAGGGTAATTGTTTTTAAATAAGGGAGTAAACTTATTTTTGTTACTGCTGGTATATAGGGCCTTCAGCATTTACACAATAACCGGATCATTCATCGTGATGTGAAAGGGAACAACATTCTCCTGACAACAGAAGGTGGAGTCAAGCTCGTTGACTTTGGTAATGACCACTTCCCATTTGTTTTCCTGATACATGCAGTTTAGCCAAAGGCATCTGTTTACTTTTCCCTGGGAAGGCAGAATGCCATAGTGAGAGACTTTTTCATAAGGATACTCAGAATTTTTTTAAGAAGGAAAACGGAGAAAGAACCTGATACAGCAAGAATAAAAATTCTAACCAAAAATTAGTAATAGACTTTAAGTTAAAAGCTTAAACATAATAATTAAAAATAGTTCTGAAGGTACCATTTTATTTGCAAAGCTCTTTTGCATTTCACAAGGAATGTCAGTTTCAGGGCAGTTGTCCTCCTAATTTAAATTTAGATATTGTATCTTTTGCATATGAAGAGGAAACATTCTTCTCTCTGAAATGTCTTTTGCTAGCCTTAAGCATATTTTTTTTCCCTCTGAGCAGAAGGTAAAATGGTCCCTTGGGTCCAAAACCCAACATCCATTTAATTTGTGATTATTGCTGTTAGATTTGAGCATTGCATAAGAAATGGGGGGGGGGGGGGGGGGGGGGGAGAGTGAGAGAAAGAAAGAGGGAAAGAGAGAAAGAGACTTGGCACTAGAATTTAACTCAGTTCAGCATTTTTTTTCCTTTTAAACATGCACTTAGAAAAATAAGGAAATGCTGTAGTCCCTCAGATATGTATGCAGTGGAGTGGACAATTTTATTAAAGGTAACAGAAACAGATTATTAGCAATATTATTTATTAATGAAACCATATAATGCATAAAATAATCGTCATTGAGAATAGTGTTGTGTGAATAACAGATGTTTGTTTAGCAGTGCATGAAGGTAAAGAAAAACGTTCTCACAAAATGAGTAAAGTGGCATGCCAAAAAATTCTGCAAATAGTAATATTTAAAAAAAAACCCAAAAATATTAAATTTATGGAGTGGAAAGCAAATTTAATACTGATGTTGTCATGGTATTATAAATTTAACATAAAAATCTATTGAAGATGCTAAAGTAAGTTGGGAAACAGGAGACTTTAGTATCTTCTAGGGACAGAAATTCATTATGTTGAAGAGTAAAGGCAACAATTAAAATACTGTTGGGAGAAACATATGGCCTGAAGCAAAACTTGGAGTGAGTCCCTGACCTAGTACAAGGGAGGAAGATCCCTTCTCATTTGGGGGAATTTTGGCGGTATGACTTTTGTTTGTAACTACTCCATTCTGGGAAAAGTTGGGTTTTCTCTCCAAAGCAAAATGGTTTTTATCAGATGTATCAAAGGCCTTAGCTGCAACGTAAGCTCAGTTTAGAATCATAGAATCGTTTAGGTTGGAAAAGACCCTTAAGATCATCAAGTCCAACTGTAACCCTAGCACTGCCAAGTCCACCACTAAACCATGTCCCTAAGCACCACATCTACATGTCTTTTAAATACTTCCAGGGATGATGACTCCACCACTTCCCCGGGCAGCCTGTTCCAATGCTTGACAACCCTTTCAGGGAAGAAATTTTTCCTAATAACCAATCTAAACCTACCCTGATGCAACTTGAGGCCATTTCCTCTCGTTCTATCGCTTGTTACTTGGGAGAAGAGACTGACACTC